ACGGGCATCTACTCCTTACATGGTTCAAAGTCCAAAGGGACATGATGAAATGCCTTCGAGTCAAATACCGATTTTAAGGGCAAGTCCACTCCAATTATATTAAACTTACTTTCAATAGAAGCAGAAAATCAGACAAACCCAGTAAATCCAGTGACCGGAGTAATTACAATAATAATAATTGTATTATTATTACAATATTATCATCATTGTTGTTGTTGTTGTCACTTCTACCATTATTATTACTATTATTGTTATCATTATTATAATTTCTATTCTTATTATTATTGTTGCAGTTGTTATAAATTGCATTATTGTTAGTATTGTTATTATCATTGTTATTATTATATCAATTATTATTATTAGTAGTATTAGTAGTAGTAGTAGTAGTAGTAGTAGTAGTAGTAGTAGTAGTAGTAGTATTATTATCATCATTATTATTACTTTTTGTCTCGATCATGTCATAGGAACGGAGAAGTACCATGTGGCGCTCCCAACCCGCGTTCCAGCTGACTGTCTGAGGTGTATCTGCATCGTGGAATCCAACTGTAAGATGCCCTCTCCTGTTTGTCAGATAGACGTCGGCTCTCTATCGTGTGGTCCCTACCAGATAAAGGACGATTACTGGAACGACGCCAGGATGAAAGGCGGGGATCTCATGGGATGTAAGTACATTTTTGTAAAGATTTAATCATAATAGTAATAATACATTACACAAAATTATATGTTTGGGAGTGCATTGTGACGTATCTTCAAAAATCTTCATTTTCCCTTGAGAACATTTTCAGTCATATACATTCACCCTTTCATGGTTGCGATTATGTTTTCTACAAGCCAGGTATAAAACTAATCTATTCGGTCATAAATAATTTAGAAAATGAAAATTTATGAAATTGTATGTACAGACCACAAATGAACGGAGAGGAACTCGCAAGATACGTCACATTGTTGCCAATTTGTGTTTCACTGATGACAAGTTCAACCATTCATATCTCTTCTATTTTCGAATCGGATAGTGCTCAATCTCTCACAAATTTGTTTCTCTAATTTCATTAAAACCAATTTAATATCAGGGTGGACTTCCCCTTTAATCGGGGGCAAATAAGATGTGTGCCCTTCAGATCACAAATGCAGAGCAGATTGATTCCTGTTTGCAATTCAGAAATAATGGGGCATATAAAAACTTTTTCGCTCTCTTTTCTCTTGATCTCTTTTGACGTTTTGTTTCGTTTTGTTTCGTTTTTTGTTTTTTGCCCATCCTTGAAGTTCCAAACAGGGAAAGTGCCCCCATTGCTTTCTTAGGCCAGGAAATTTCCGGGAATTAATGTCATATCAAACATCGAAAAACAAGAATACATTTTCCCATCCATGCGCCTATATAGGAACATTGATGTCGTATATTGTTTTGCTTTTTAATTTTTATGGTAACAGCAATTTTTGTCGGGTTTTTTAAATCGATTAGTTTATCAATCATTCTGTTTCTTTACACATCTTTTTTCCCTTTATTCTCTATTTCTTCCTCTGTCTTCCCCCTTTCTAAAAATACTTTTCCAGCTTGGAGAAAGTGCACAGCTGATATGGGATGCAGCGGGGAGACGGTACAGGGCTACATGGCTCGTTACGCTGTCATTAGTCGCCTTGAACACGAACCAACTTGTGAGGATTTTGCCCGCATACACAACGGCGGTCCAAATGGTTATAATAGGACCTCTACGTTGAAATACTGGTCCAAAGTCAAGGAATGTCTCAATTAAAGTCCAGTTGAAATATTAATGTTTCTTCTCACCTGAATTAGGCTTACATAGTGTGAATGATGCAATATCTTAGGTACGTTACCCCTTTTGAATCCCAACTGCTATACATTTAATACACAAGTCCATTCACAAGAACGTGCCCCCTAATGTTAAGGTAATCATCTTTTTCTGCTTGTCAGAAATTTAGGAGTAAAAGGGCATCACAATTGTGCTAGGGGTGTCAACAAATTTTAAGGAATATTGCACCCCTCTTCTACAAAATCCTGATCGCGCCACTGTTCTAAACCCATCAATGCTTGGCTATTCGGTGGACTTTAACTTTCTGTTGGTTTTGTCAGTGTGACTGCAGTATGAGGCTCTATTTATGACGGCCTGTTTAGAAAATATAGATTATAATGTACAATTTTCAATATGATCTTTATAGAGTTTGCTCTTAGCGTGTAGTTCAGGATGACTAATAAGTACATGTATGTAGCAATAGAACGTCATACTTGATGCGTTCAATTAGTATAGCCAGATTGGTTATCTCTTTCTTGTTTGTTACGCTAAAAACTAAAAGTTTTACTGTTCTTGTGTTGTATAAATTAATATTGATTTGTTCAACTTTGTATGTTTTATTAAACTGAATTGAAGAATTAAAAGCAATTGCATGGGATGAACTAAATCCATTCAGGTGTTATATTACATTTATAGGTCTGACATATTGGGGGGGGGGGTGTTTCACAAAGATCCTAAGTTGGACTTAAACATTATGGAGAGCCATTTGTAGCCTTAAAATGAAATTTATTCAAAAGCAAAAATTCAAGTATTTTAGACTTTTTATAAATTCCACATCAAGAACGCTAAATCTCCTTGATAATAGAAAATATGGATGATTTGAATCAACATTTTATGCCTTTTTGAAGTAACTTTTACAAAATATTTTTCATAGATGCCAACGGCTTTCCATAATTGTTAAGTCCAGCTTAGAGATAAGTTCAACTGAGGATCTTTGTGAAACACTCCCCAGATATCTAATGTGTGTCTAGCTGAACCCTACATTTTTATGCATACTGGCGTAACATTCAAATCAGTTATTGTAGACATTTTGCTCAGGTTCTGTCCGTTTTTATACATTTGTATTTACCATTAACTTTGTCCTACTCCCTTACACAATCGCACACAGCGCGGCTTCTCGAATGATCACGCGATCATTGAAAATGCATCCGTCTGCGAGGGTAAGAATGAAAGGACTGTCTCCGTTTTAGCGTTGAGGGTGTGGGAGCGCGACACTGAAACAGTCCAGGCAGTGGACTAGACGATGTTGCCAATTTGTTGAAGTAGCTTATTAAACTCCAGTTAAATCTATTCCCGATCATAATTATCACATCAAAAGTACATGAGGTTTAAGGCATAGTCTAGCTTCGAGAAATTGCAAACAGCAGATATTTCTCTTGAAAAGTTGTTAGTACAACTATATTTTTGAGAAAAAAATTCTTATCGAAAATGATAAAAATTATACAATAAATAACACTACAAAATTACTGGACAATGCGGCCTTTTCTTGTGTCCTTGTAGGCAGGGGCGTCTCCAAAGGGAGGGGGGTGGGGGGGGGTGCGACACCCCCCCCCCCACCTGTCAGGATATTGTCGGTAAAAAATGCGCTGCCGTCGGGAAAAAAGAGAAAAGGGGGAGGGAAAAAAGAGGGAAAGGGAAAGAAGAAAAAAAGGAAAAGAAAGGAAGGAAAAGAAAGGAAAGAAAAGAGAAGAAAGAAAAAAAAGAGGGAGGAGAGAAAAGAAAGGAAAAGAAAGAAAAGAAAAAAAGGAAAAAAAGAAGAAAAAAAGAGAAAAGGGAAAGAGGAGAGAGAGGGGAGGTAAGAGCCTGAGAGAGGAGGTGTGGGAGTAAAAGAGAGAGCGGGGTTGGTGGGTGGAGTCGTCTCGTCGAGGGAGCGAGAAAGACACGGATAATTATGTTGTTGTGTCGGGTCAGCTGTGTCGGCATTCTTGCTCGATCCTCGTGTACTATATCAATGCAGAAGTTTGAAGTCGGTGAGATGTATATTGTCGGTCGGCCGACAAGTTTTGTTTCGCTACGTGACTTTTTATCCGCTGTGACGACTTCGAGAGTGACTACAACTACAATAATTGTATTTTCTCGAAGTTTCACTTTTCTATAATATCAGCTAAAGAAATTAGAGGTTTAACATTTTCGGGGAAACTAAATTCAAACAAGGATTAAGAGTCAACAACGGTACGACGAATCGTCTTCCTTTTTCCATATTTTGATGAAACGCCAAGAAAAAAACGCGGGAGGAGAAAACTTCATTTAAACGAGTCGAGAACGGTACAACGAATCGTCTTCTTTCTCTAATAATTTAAGGAAACGTTTAAGCTTCCGCGATTTGCGCGGGAATAGGGAAACTGAATTCAGACAAATTAGGGTTAAGAGTCGCGTATAGGACAAGAAATCGTCTGCTTTTTCTAATAATTTAAGGAAACGTCAAAGTTTCCGTGCTTCGCGCGAGAGGGGGAAACTGAATTCAGACAAATAGGGCTTATTAAGAGTCGAAAACGGTACAACGAATCGTCTGCTTTCTCTAAAAAATTAAGGAACCGTCATTATCTTCCGCGCTTTGCGCGAGAGGGGGAAACTGAAATCAGATAAATAGAGCTTAATAAGAGTCGAAAAGGTTGCAACGAATCGTCTTCTTTCTATGATAATTAAATCAAACGTCTAAGCTTTTCGCGCTTCGCGCGGGAAGGGGGAAACTGAAATCAGACAAGGATTAAGAGTCGACGAAAACGGTACAACGAATCGTCTGCTTTTTTCTCATAATTTAAGGAAACGTCAAAGCTTCCGAGCTTCGCACTACAGGGGGAACTGAATTAGGGCTTATTAAGAGTCGAAAACGGATGGCAAAGCAGATCTAACACAAACAAACTAAGTGAACAAGTTTATTTTTAATAGTTAAATTATATGTTTAAAAAGATACCAATAAGTGGTACTTCAACTACCCTCACTATGAACATGAGGGACAGAGAAAGCGGACAAAATATACAGTTCCTCAGGTAGACAAAGGAACAATGTAAAAATGTGTAGAACAGTTGAATATGCATGTGACACCTGTTCTACATATTTTTACATAATAGCAGTGAAGGGATGTTCCTTTGTCTACCTGAGGAACTGTATATTTTGTCCGCTTTCTTTGTCCGTCTTATTTTCATAGTGCCTGAATCAGTTTCGATCATACAAGGAAGTATTGTGGTTCAAGTGTAAACGTGCACTGATGAATGGGAACTTCCATTATGTGCAGGTCGTCAAAAGCTTTCAAGTACATCACATATAAGTTATAACACTAAGAAAGGACACATTTAGAAGACATTCATGCGTCGTATATTTATCGCGTGCACACCGTCAAAAGCCTTTGAGCTCAGAATACTAGAATAATACGCATAATTCAGTACAGACTGATTTACATTTGAAGGTGGATGTAAAGAGCAAAGATTGTTGAAATGGCTGTCGTGATCACCAACGTATTGATTTTCTGCGCGGTCTTCGTCGCCGCTCTTGGTAAGAAGCAACTTTGAAACTTCATTGTAAATGGCATAGATCCTGTTATATACTTCATCCCAGATGTAGTGGTCTAGTTGACAAGTCGTTTGACTGTGGATCACAGGATCCGCAGTTCTAGTCCCGCCTCGGCACTATTGTCTATTGGCAAGATATTAATCTACATTTGCCACTCTCCACCCGGGTGTTAAATGGGTACCGGTAGGAAGGAATTCTTTGAATGCTGTGAGCGCCGAAATCGCCAGCCTAGCAGAGCCGGGGTAATGGTTTGAGCGCCCAGAACACCATGCATGGTGGATATGACTGTGCGCTATATAAACATCCAATAATATTATCATTATTATTGGATATGTGCACTATATAAATAACCAATAATATTATCATTATTATATGTGCAATAGCGTAGCAACCTTAAGTATCACGAGTGTCACTTTCCTCGTTGTTTAGTATAATCAAAGCTCTAGAAGCGGTATCAACTTGTAAGATTCATGGGGTATAGAATACCGAAATGTGTCGTCATACATGCCGAGTTGTCGAGGTTGGTGGTTCCAAACACTTTTGTGCCAAACATGGTCGTGGTGATCACACCAGCGCCAAATACTAAAACACGTTGCCTGAATGATTTCGGGATGAACCTCTTGCGACCTCATGCAATCAATTCATTGATAATGGCCCATGTTTTATGTGTGTCAATCGTAGTATGATGTATCAGAGCTCTACTGTGAGAGGGGGTGAGAAGTTTATCATTTTAATCTGTTTACAAAGAAGTTAGATACAAAACAATAATCTAGCTATTGTGGGATAGTACTTTTGTAAACTAATACAAAATAATTTTGCTAAGATACCTGTTAAGTATTATTGATTGTTATGCACATGTACTCATGTTTCGAAATTTCTTATTTAATGTGAAACCATTGAACACCAGGAAGTGATATTTTGTGATTATGCGTCTGTCATATTGCTTAATGCTTAGTACTCACCTTTGCATGTAAATTATGCCAAAGTGGATAGCTTTACTACGTAGGCCAATACCTTTAAAGGTACTATGTCCCATTTGCAGGCCGAACAAAGTGAAAAGGTTAAATTCCAATGCCATTTGAAAGATAATACTAAGAAATTCCCTCAAAACAGAAGGGCTTGAAACTGTTTTTGTGTGTTTGTGAAAATAAGCGACCGTTAGTTGTCGAATCAAATTTAGCGATGGTGGTCGTTTAATTAAATAGTCTGATTTTCAGACCCTTCTACCGATTGGTCATACGTTCTGTGCTGCGTGAAGATTCAATCAGCTTTATTTTGGCCATTACAAGAAATGAGTTATTTATAAGGACAAACGCTCGTGTACACTTTAAAGCTCATTTTATGTACTTTATGTTATTACCAAAGAAAAAAAATAAGAAGCCAGTCAGTCACTCAACAGTGTCTGACAGTGAAGTCTTGAAAGTAAAGGGGTTTATACAGTAGGTTTGCGGGTGCACCATGTGTGAGAGAGAGAGAGAGAGAGAGAGGGTTGAGGAGTCCTGAAAAGGACTCTGACTCGGTAATCTTTCTTGGGGTGTGGTAGTCCTGAAAAGGACTGTTTGTTATCTTTCTTAGCATATAGTTCTAAGGAGAACTATAGCGCTTGGAGAGGATGAGTGGCTCGACGTTTCGAACAGGTTGACTATCCGTCGTCATGAAACCTACTGTATATTTACATCACCACGCAAGGCGACACTTACAAGCAGCATCTAAAGGGGTTTACTTGCATAATTTGAATAATACGACACTGCTGAGGTTTAAATGTCACAGATAGGACAAACGTGACAAATTCATAGTTTTCGCAAAATTCTACAGAATTTGATGTTGGCTGCAAAATGGATACTATACCTTTAAAAGGTGAATCTGCCGCATTTAGCGAGTATCATCGAAACAATCGAACCGTCCAAATGTTGTATAAGCTAAAATGCACTCGTTTAATAATGGACACTTATTGGTCGATGAACTTCAATCGAACACCGAGATAAAGGTAAATTACATTTTACTTTATCTACGATTACAAACGAATGACAAAATCATAATTATCCAAAGATTACTAGTTTGGAAATAAAAAAAACTTCGACAATGTCGTTTTTATCCTGTACATATTTGAGATCTTCTGTTTTGTCGCTATAAAAACTGCACAACAGTACTGTAAACTCACTTTATTTGACAAATTTGACCGGAAATGCAGAGGTCGTGGGTTCTAACTTTTTCTTGGCATGCATCTCCTTGACAAAGGCATTTTGTTCACATACTCCTTTCCCCTAAGGTATGATGAGGGTATTGAGCGAACCCTCCCCCATCAAATACTTTTTAATTTTTTTTGTTTCATTTCGTTTCAAGAATCAGGCTTGTTCATCCAAAGGATAATGAGTTTACGAAAGCTTGGCTCTAAATGTTAAGGTTGTAAGAAGCTTGAACGTCAGGTTAAGTCCACGTTATTATGCCCCCCCCCCCCCCCATCTGACAAATCGCACAATGGGTACGAGGATCAGGATAAGAGTACTGAATTGATACATCTACCGAGAAACGTGGACTTTAGCCTCTGATACTAAAAAGCGTTTCGAAAGTTACGATAAGTGGGTTTTATGAAGAATGATGAAGATCCCTTTGACTGACAAAGTTAGTAATGAGGAAGTTCTTAGAAGAGCTGGAGTGCAAAGGAAAATGATACGTGAGATGTTGATTAGGCAGTTGAAGTTCATGGGTCACATTACACGTAAAGGAGGCCAAGATAATCTTGGTTTGACAGGGACAATTGTGGGAAGGAGGAGTAGGGGAAGAAGGAGGATACTTTGGATGGACAGTCTGCCCAAATTGTTGAAAGAGAGAGAGAGAGGAGTGAAAGAACAGGGAGTGGTGCTAATAGAGAAGGCTAGGAACCGAGGGTTGTGGAACAGCATGGTTGCCAGAAGCAACCGATATGGCACTTAGAGAAAGAGAGAGAGAGAGAGAGATTATTATCATTATTATTGTTGTTGTTGTTATTTTTGCTGTTTTCATTCATTGCATTATTGTTATTATTGTTAATATCATTGTTATTATTATTATTATCAGGAGTAGAAGTAATTGTAGTAGTTGCAGTAGTAGTAGTAGTATCTTAATTGTAGTCGCTGTCGTAGTAGTGGTAGTAGTATTATCATCATTATTATTACTTTTTGTTTCGAATCATGTCATAGGAACGGAGAAGTACCACGTGGCGCTCCCAACCCCCGTTCCAGCTGACTGCCTGAGGTGTATCTGCATCGTGGAATCCAACTGTAAGATGCCCGCTCCTGTTTGCCAGATGGACGTCGGCTCTCTATTGTGTGGTCCATACCAGATAACAGGGGATGAATGGAACGACGCCAGGATGAAAGGCGGGGATCTCATGGGATGTAAGTTTATCATTTTAAAAAGATTTAATGATAAATAATAAACCATTACACAATAACATCTGTTTGCGAGTGCATTATGACGTATCTTCAAAAATCTATATTTCTCCTTGAGAAAATGTTCAGTCATACATTCATGATTGCGAATATTTTTTTTACAACCCCTGTATGAAACTAATCTACTCGGTCATAAATAATTTAGAAAATGAAAGTTTATGAGATTGTCTGATACAGAGCAAAGATGAGCGGAGAGGAACTCGCAAGATACGTCACACTGTTGCCAATTTGTGTTTCACTGATGACAAGTTCAACCATTCATATCTCTTCTATTTTCGAATCGGATAGTGCTCAATCTCTCACAAATTTGTTTCTCTAATTTCATTAAAACCAATTTAATATCAGGGTGGACTTCCCCTTTAATCGGGGCAAATAAGATGTGTGCCCTTCAGATCACAAATACAGAGCAGATTTATTCCTGTTTGCAATTTAGAAATAATGGGGCATATAATACCCTTTTCGCTCTCTTTTCTCTTGATCTCTTTTGACGTTTCGTTTCGTTTTGTTTCTTTTGTTTGTTTGTTTTTGCCTATCCTTGAAGTGCCAAACGGGGAAAGTGCCCCCATTGCTTTCTTAGGCCAGGAAATTTCCGGGAATTAATATCATATCAAACATCGAAAAACAAGAATACATTTTCCCATCCATGCGCCTATATAGGAACATTGATGTCGTATATTGTTTTGCTTTTTAATTTTTATGGTAACAGCAATTTTTGTCGTTTTTTTTAAAATCGATTAGTTTATCAATCATTCTGTTTCTTTACACATCTTTTTTTCCTTTATTCTCTATTTCTTCCTCTGTCTTCCCCCTTTCTAAAAATACTTTTCCAGCTTGGAGAAAGTGCACAGCTGATATGGGATGCAGTGGGGAGACGATACAGGGCTACATGGCTCGTTTCGCTGTCATTAGTCGCCTTGAACACGAACCAACTTGTGAGGATTTTGCCCGCATACACAACGGCGGTCCAAATGGTTATAATAGGACCTCTACATTGAAATACTGGTCCAGAGTCAAGGAATGTCTCAATTAAAGTCCAGTTGAAATATTAATGTTTCTTCTCACCTGAATTAGGCTTACATAGTGTGAATGATGCAATATCTTAGTTACGTTATTCCTTTTGAATCCCAACTGCTATACATTTAGTAGACAAGTACATTCACAGACCCAAGAACGTTGCCCCCCCCCCCTTTTTGGTAATTAATCATCTTTTTCTGCTTGTTAGAAATTCAGGAGTTAAAAGGCATCAAAATTGTGATCGGGATGTCAACAAATATTGAGGGATCCTAATTCTACCACTGTTCTAAACCCATCAATTCTTGAATTTCTTGGCTATTCGGTGGACCGTAACTTTCTGTCGGTTTTGTCAGTGTGACTGCAGTATGAGGCTTTATTTATTCATGAAGGCCTGTTAAGAAAGCCAAGAGTATAATTTAAAATTTTCTATTCGATCTTTATAGAGTTCGCTCTTAGCGTGTAGTTCACGATGACTAATTAAGTATGTAGCAATAGCATGTCATACTTGATGCATTCAATTATTATAGCCAGGTTATTTCTTTGTCTTTTGTTTCGCTAATTCATGCAATGATACGATTTACTTTTCTTGAGTTATATAAAGTATTGTTGATTTTTGTTTTAAATGTTGTATGTTTAAACTGAATTGAAGAATATACAATTGTATATCATTATATTTTGTTTGTTATAGCGCTAAGAGACTTCGGTGGTAAGCGCTTTATATGTACCGTTTTTATAATTAATTTATTATTAGTAAGAGGCAAGCTATACAAAATAATTTTTTCAAAAAAATGTTGGCCAAATTCTATATGGCGACTCATCAATAAAAATCGTACATAGGAAGATCTTATTAATCGATCAGTGTAATCAGTATCCAAATTTGTTTATATTTATATTTTTTATATTTCTGATTTCATTCTTACTTTTGATTATTTTCATTGTGCATTTGGCATTGGGTTGTGAATGCATTGATTTTCTTTGAAGTACCAAAACATTGAAATGAGGTGTTATTAGATTTCATAGGATACTGTGAGTAATAATTTTAATATGTTGTATTATTATATTTATTGTGATAATCATCCGTACAGGAATACAATTCTTGTACAAAACTGTTGATTAGGTTAAAAAATGATTATGTATGACAATTAGACATTATGTTGAGAACATAGGCTATTTAACTACTAAATATTAGATGCTGCTTATAAGTATCGGCTTGCATGGCGATGTAGATATACAGTAGACTTGCGGTTGCACCATGTGAGGGAGGGGGAGGATTGGGAAGTCCTGAAAAAAGACTCTCGGTAATTTTTCTTTCTTGAATGTGTGTGTGGATGGGTGGTGGGAGCCACTCCCACCTCCCATCCTCTCCAACCAGCGCTATATAAGAAGCAACTGTTGAACTACATTGTGAGTGGCATTGATCATTTACATTTCATCCCAAATATCATAATTAAATAAATAAATGAATAAATAAAATCAATGTGCAATAACGTATATTATAGAAGGCCACGGGGCACGGGCGCCCCATCAAATGGCCTAAAGGATAGAGGAGAAAAATAGATTAAAGAGTTAAAGAGATAGAGAGAGAGAGAGAGAGAGAGAGACAGAGACAGAGAGACAGAGAGAGACACAGATAGAGAGAGAGAGAGAGAGACAGACAGACATAGAGAGACACAGATAGAGAGAGAGAGAGAGAGAGAGAGAGAGAGAGAAAGATAGGGGAGAGAGAGAGACATAGAGTGTGGATTGCGTAATCCAATATAAGGCTTGCAGTCTTTGAAAAAATATAAATGGGCAACATGCATGGTGAAAAACGTTTATGAACGATGGCAAAGCAGATCTAACACAAACAAACTAAGTGAACAAGTTTATTTTTAATAGTTGAATTATATGTTAAAAAGAAACTAATAAGCGGCACTTCAACTTCAATTCCGATCATACCAGGAAGTATTGTGGTTCAAGTGTAAACTTGCACTGATGAATGGGAACTTCCATTATGTACAGGTCGTCAAAAGCTTTCAAGTACATCACATATAAGTTATAACACTAAGAAAGGAAACATTTAGAAGACATTCTCATGCGTCGTTTATTTATTGCGTGCACACCGTCAAAAGCCTTTGAGCTCAGAATACTAGAATAATACGTAGAATTCAGTACAGACTGATTTACATTTGAAGGTGGATATAAAGAGCAAAGATTGTTGAAATGGCTGTCGTGATCACCAACGTATTGATTTTCTGCGCGGTCTTCGTCGCCGCTCTTGGTAAGAAGCAACTTTGAAACTTTATTGTAAATGGCATAGATCCTGTTATATACTTCATCCCAGATGTAGTGGTCTAGTTGACAAGTCGTTTGACTGTGGATCACAGGATCCGCAGTTCGAGTCCCGCCTCGACACTATTGTCTATTGGCAAGATATTAATCTACATTTGCCACTCTCCATCCGGGTGTTAAATGGGTACCGGTAGGAAGGAATTCTTTGAATGCTGTGAGCGCCGAAATCGCCAGCCTAGCAGAGCCGGGGTAATGGTTGGAGCGCCCAGAACACCATGCATGGTGGATATGACTGTGCGCTATATAAACATCCAATAATATTATCATTATTATTGGATATGTGCACTATATGAATAACCAATAATATTATCATTATTATATGTGCAATAGCGTAGCAACCTTAAGTATCACGAGTGTCACTTTCCTCGTTGTTTAGTATAATCAAAGCTCTAGAAGCGGTATCAACTTGTAAGATTCATGGGGTATAGAATACCGAAATGTGTCGTCATACATGCCGAGTTGACGAGGTTGGTGGTTCCAAACACTTTTGTGCCAAACATGGTCGTGGTGATCACACCAGCGCCAAATACTAAAACACGTTGCCTGAATGATTTCGGGATGAACCTCTTGCGACCTCATGCAATCAATTCATTGATAATGGCCCATGTTTTATGTGTGTCAATCGTAGTATGATGTATCAGAGCTCTACTGTGAGAGGGGGTGAGAAGTTTTTCATTTTAATCTGTTTACAAAGAAGTTAGATACAAAACAATAATCTAGCTATTGCGGGATAGTACTTTTGTAAACTAATACAAAATAATTTTGCTAAGATACCTGTTAAGTACTATTGATTGTTATGCACATGTACTCATGTTTCGAAATTTCTTATTTAATGTGAAACCATTGAACACCAGGAAGTGATATTTTGTGATTATGCGTCTGTCATATTGCTTAATGCTTAGTACTCACCTTTGCATGTAAATTATGCCAAAGTGGATAGCTTTACTACGTAGGCCAATACCTTTAAAGGTACTATGTCCCATTTGCAGGCCGAACAAAATGAAAAGGTTAAATTCCAATGCCATTTGAAAGATAATACTAAGAAATTCCCTCAAAACAGAAGGGCTTGAAACTGTTTTTGTGTGTTTGTGAAAATAAGCGACCGTTAGTTGTCGAATCAAATTTAGCGATGGTGGTCGTTTAATTAAATAGTCTGATTTTCAGACCCTTCTACCGAATGGTCATACGTTCTGTGCTGCGTGAAGATTCAATCAGCTTTATTTTGGCCATTACAAGAAATGGGTTATTTATAAGGACAAACGCTCGTGTACACTTTAAAGCTCATTTTATGTACTTTATGTTATTACCAAAGAAAAAAAATAAGAAGTCAGTCAGTCACTCAACAGTGTTTGACAGTGAAGTCTTGCAAGTAAAGGGGTTTATACAGTAGGTTTGCGGGTGCACCATGTGTGAGAGAGAGAGAAAGAGGGTTGAGGAGTCCTGAAAAGGACTCTGACTCGGTAATCTTTCTTGGGGCGTGGTAGTCCTGAAAAGGACTGTTTGTTATCTTTCTTAGCATATAGTTCTAAGGAGAACTATAGCGCTTGGAGAGGATGAGTGGCTCGACGTTTCGAACAGGTTGACTATCCGTCGTCATGAAACCTACTGTATATTTACATCACCACGCAAGGCGACACTTACAAGCAGCATCTAAAGGGGTTTACTTGCATAATTTGAATAATACGACACTGCTGAGGTTTAAATGTCACAGATAGGACAAACGTGACAAATTCATAGTTTTCGCAAAATTCTACAGAATTTGATGTTGGCTGCAAAAGGGATACTATACCTTTAAAAGGTGAATCTGCCGCATTTAGCGAGTATCATCGAAACAATCGAACCGTCCAAATGTTGTATAAGCTAAAGTGCACTCGTTTAATAATGGACACTTATTGGTCAATGAACTTCAATCGAACACCGAGATAAAGGTAAATTACATTTTACATTATCTACGATTCCAAACGAATGACAAAATCATAATTATCCAAAGATTACTAGTTTGGAAATAAAAGAACTTCGACAATGTCGTTTTTATCCTGTACATATTTGAGATCTTCTGTTTTTCGCTATAAAAACTGCACAACAGTACTGTAAACTCACTTTATTTGACAAATTTGACCGGAAATGCAGAGGTCGTGGGTTCTTACTTTTTATTGGCATGCATCTCCTTGACAAAGGCATTTTGTTCACATACTCCTTTCCCCTAAGGTATGATGAGGGTATTGAGCGAACCCTTCCCCCATCAAATACTTTTTTAATATTTTTGTTTCATTTCGTTTCAAGAATCAGGCTTGTTCATCCAAAGGATAATGAGTTTACGAAAGCTTGGCTCTAAATGTTAAGGTTGTTAGAAGCTTGAACGTCAGGTTAAGTCCACGTTATTATGCCCCCCCCCCCCCCATCTGACAAATCGCACAATGGGTACGAGGATCAGGATAAGAGTACCGAATTGATACATCTACCGAGAAACGTGGACTTAAGCCTCTGATACTAAAAAGCGTTTCGAAAGTTATGATAAGTGGGTTTTAATAAGAATGGTGAAGATCCCTTTGACTGACAAAGTTAGTAATGAGGAAGTTCTTAAAAGAGCTGGAGTGCAAAGGAAAAGGATACGTGAGATGTTGATTAGGCAGTTGAAGTTCATGGGTCACATTACACGTAAAGGAGGCCAAGATAATCTTGGTTTGACAGGGACAATTGTGGGAAGGAGGAGTAGGGGAAGAAGGAGGATACTTTGGATGGACAGTCTGCACAAATTGTTGAAAGAGAGAGAGGAGTGAAAGAACAGGGAGTGGTGCTAGTAGAGAAGGCTAGGAACCGAGGGTTGTGGACAGCATGATTGCCAGAAGCAACCGATATGGCACTTAGAGAAAGAGAGAGAGAGAGAGAGAGATTATTATCATTATTATTGTTGTTGTTGTTATTTTTGCTGTTGTCATTCATTGCATTATTGTTATTATTGTTAATATCATTGTTATTATTATTATTATCAGGAGTAGAAGTAATTGTAGTAGTTGCAGTAGTAGTAGTAGTATCTGAATTGTAGTCGCTGTCGTAGTAGTAGTAGTAGTATTATCATCATTATTATTACTTTTTGTTTCGAATCATGTCATAGGAACGGAGAAGTACCATGTGGCGCTCCCAACCCCCGTTCCAGCTGACTGTCTGAGGTGTATCTGCATCGTGGAATCCAACTGTAAGATGCCCTCTCCTGTTTGTCAGATAGACGTCGGCTCGCTATTGTGTGGTCCCTACCAGATAAAGGACGATTACTGGAACGACGCTAGGATGAAAGGCGGGGATCTCATGGGATGTAAGTACATTTTTGTAAAGATTTAATCATAATAGTAATAAAACATTACACAAAATTATATGTTTGGGAGTGCATTGTGACGTATCTTCAAAAATCTTCATTTTCCCTTGAGAACATTTTCAGTCATTCACCCTTTCATGGTTGCGATTATGTTTTCTACAAGCCAGGTATAAAACTAATCTATTCGGTCATAAATAATTTAGAAAATGAAAATTTATGAAATTGTATGTTCAGACCATAAATGAGCGGAGAGGAACTCGCAAGATACGTCACATTGTTGCCAATTTGTGTTTCACTGATGACAAGTTCAACCATTCATATCTCTTCTATTTTCGAATCGGATAGTGCTCAATCTCTCACAAATTTGTTTCTCTAATTTCATTAAAACCAATTTAATATCAGGGTGGACTTCCCCTTTAATCGGGGGCAAATAAGATGTGTGCCCTTCAGATCACAAATGCAGAGCAGATTGATTCCTGTTTGCAATTCAGAAATAATTGGGCATATAAAACCTTTTTCGCTCTCTTTTCTCTTGATCTCTTTTGACGTTTTGTTTCGTTTTGTTTCGTTTTTTGTTTTTTGCCCATCCTTGAAGTCCCTAACAGGGAAAGTGCCCCCATTGCTTTCTTAGGCCAGGAAATTTCCGGGAATTAATGTCATATCAAACATCGAAAAACAAGAATACATTTTCCCATCCATGCGCCTATATAGGAACATTGATGTCGTATATTGTTTTGCTTTTTAATTTTTATGGTAACAGCAATTTTTGTCGGTTTTTTTTTAAATCGATTAGTTTATCAATCATTCTGTTTCTTTACACATCTTTTTTTCCTTTATTCTCTATTTCTTCCTCTGTCTTCCCCCTTTCTAAAAATACTTTTCCAGCTTGGAGAAAGTGCACAGCTGATATGGGATGCAGTGGGGAGACGGTACAGGGCTACATGGCTCGTTTCGCTGTCATTAGTCGCCTTGAACACGAACCAACTTGTGAGGATTTTGCCCGCATACACAACGGCGGTCCAAATGGTTATAATAGGACCTCTACATTGAAATACTGGTCCAGAGTCAAGGAATGTCTCAATTAAAGTCCAGTTGAAATATTAATGTTTCTTCTCACCTGAATTAGGCTTACATAGTGTGAATGATGCAATATCTTAGTTACGTTACCCCTTTTGAATCCCAACTGCTATACATTTAGTAGACAAGTACATTCACAGACCCAAGAACGTTCCCCCCCCCCCCTTTTTGGTAATTAATCATCTTTTTCTGCTTGTTAGAAATTCAGGAGTTAAAAGGCATCAAAATTGTGATCGGGATGTCAACAAATATTGAGGGATCCTAATTCTACCACTGTTCTAAACCCATCAATTCTTGAATTTCTTGGCTATTCGGTGGACCGTAACTTTCTGTCGGTTTTGTCAGTGTGACTGCAGTATGAGGCTTTATTTATTCATGAAGGCCTGTTAAGAAAGCCAAGAGTATAATTTAAAATTTTCTATTCGATCTTTATAGAGTTCGCTCTTAGCGTGTATTTCACGATGACTAATTCAGTATGTAGCAATAGCATGTCATACTTGATGCATTCAATTATTATAGCCAGGTTATTTCTTTGTTGTTTGTTTCGCTAATTCATGCAGAGTTATATAAAGTATTGTTGATTTTTTTTAAATGTTGTATGTTTAAACTGAATTGAAGAATATACAATTGTATATAATTATATTTTGTTTGTTATAGCGCTAAGAGACTTCGGTGGTAAGCGCTTTATATGTACCGTTTTTATAATTTATTTATTATTAGTATGAGGCAAGCTATACAAAATAATTTTTTCAAAAAAATGTTGGCCAAATTCTATAGGGCGACTCATCAATAAAAAATCGTACCTAGAAAGATCTTATTAATCGATCAGTGTAATCAGTATCCAAATTTGTTTATATTTATATTTTTTATATTTCTGATTTCATTCTTACTTTTGATTATTTTCATTGTGCATTTGGCATTGGGTTGTGAATGCATTGATTTTCTTTGAAGTACCAAAACATTGAAATGAGGTGTTATTAGATTTCATAGGATACTGTGAGTAATAATTTTAATATGTTGTATTATTATATTTATTGTGATAATCATCCGTATAGGAATACAATTCTTGTACAAAACTGTTGATTAGGTTAAAAAATGATTATGTATGACAATTAGACATTATGTTGAGAACATAGGCTATTTAACTACTAAATATTAGATGCTGCTTATAAGTATCGGCTTGCATGGCGATGTAGATATACAGTAGGCTTGCGGTTGCACCATGTGAGGGAGGGGGAGGATTGGGAAGTCCTGAAAAAAGACTCTCGGTAATTTTTCTTTCTTGAATGTGTGTGTGGATGGGTGGTGGGAGCCACTCCCACCTCCAATCCTCTCCAACCAGCGCTATATAAGAAACAACTTTTGAACTACACTGTGAGTGGCATTGATCATTTACATTTCATCCCAAATATCATAATTAAATAAATAAATGAATAAATGAAATCAATGTGCAATAACGTATATTATAGAAGGCCACGGGGCACAGGCGCCCCATCAAATGGCCTAAAGGATAGAGGAGAAAAATAGATAAAAGAGTTAAAGAGATAGAGAGAGAGAGAGAGAGAGAGAGAGAGAGAGAGAGAGAGAGAAAGATAGGGGAGAGAGAGACATAGAGTGTGGATTGCGTAATCCAATATAAGGCTTGCAGTCTTTGAAAAATATAAATGGGCAACATGCATGGTGACAAACGTTTATGAACGATGGCAAAGCAGATCTAACACAAACAAACTAAGTGAACAAGTTTATTTTTAATAGTTGAATTATATGTTAAAAAGAAACCAATAAGCGGTACTTTAACTTCAGTTCCGATCATACAAGGAAGTATTGTGGTTCAAGTGTAAACTTGCACTGTGAATGGGAACTTCCATTATATGCAGGTCGTCAAAAGCTTTCAAGTACATCACATATAAGTTATAACACTATTCATGCGTCGTATATTTATCGCGTGCACACCGTCAAAAGCCTTTGAGCTCAGAATACTAGAATAATACGCATAATTCAGTACAGACTGATTTACATTTGAAGGTGGATATAAAGAGCAAAGATTGTTGAAATGGCTGTCGTGATCACCAACGTATTGATTTTCTGCGCGGTCTTCGTCGCCGCTCTTGGTAAGAAGCAACTTTGAAACTTCATTGTAAATGGCATAGATCCTGTTATATACTTCATCCAAGATGTAGTGGTCTAGTTGACAAGTCGTTGGACTGTGGATCACAGGATCCGCAGTTCGAGTCCCGCCTCGGCACTATTGTCTATTGGCAAGATATTAATCTACATTTGCCACTCTCCACCCGGGTGTTAAATGGGTACCGGTAGGAAGGAATTCTTTGAATGCTGTGAGCGCCAAAATCGCCAGCCTAGCAGAGCCGGGGTAATGGTTGGAGCGCCCAGAACACCATGCATGGTGGATATGACTGTGCGCTATATAAACATCCAATAATATTATCAATATTATTGGATATATGCACTATATAAATAACCAATAATATTATCATTATTATATGTGCAATAGCGTAGCAACCTTAAGTATCACGAGTGTCACTTTCCTCGTTGTTTAGTATAATCAAAGCTCTAGAAGCGGTATCAACTTGTAAGATTCATGGGGTATAGAATACCGAAATGTGTCGTCATACATGCCAAGTTGTCGAGGTTGGTGGTTCCAAACACTTTTGTGCCAAACATGGTCGTGGTGATCACACCAGCGCCAAATACTAAAACACGTTGCCTGAATGATTTCGGGATGAACCTCTTGCGACCTCATGCAATCAATTCATTGATAATGGCCCATGTTTTATGTGTGTCAATCGTAGTATGATGTATCAGAGCTCTACTGTGAGAGGGGGTGAGAAGTTTATCACTTTAATCTGTTTACAAAGAAGTTAGATACAAAACAATAATCTAGCTATTGTGGGATAGTACTTTTGTAAACTAATACAAAATAATTTTGCTAAGATACCTGTTAAGTACTATTGATTGTTATGCACATGTACTCATGTTTCGAAATTTCTTATTTAATGTGAAACCATTGAACACCAGGAAGTGATATTTTGTGATTATGCGTCTGTCATAATGCTTAGTACTCACCTTTGCATGTAAATTATGCCGAAGTGGATAGCTTTACTACGTAGGCCAATACCTTTAAAGGTACTATGTCCCATTTGCAGGCCGAACAAAGTGAAAAGGTTAAATTCCAATGCCATTTGAAAGATAATACTAAGAAATTCCCTCAAAACAGAAGGGCTTGAAACTGTTTTTGTGTGTTTGTGAAAATAAGCGACCGTTAGTTGTCGAATCAAATTTAGCGATGGTGGTCGTTTAATTAAATAGTCTGATGTTCAGACCCTTCTACCGAATGGTCATACGTTCTGTGCTGCGTGAAGATTCAATCAGCTTTATTTTGGCAATTACAAGAAATGGGTTATTTATAAGGACAAATGCTTGTGTACACTTTAAAGCTCATTTTATGTACTTTATGTTATTACCAAAGAAAAAAAAAAAAGAAGTCAGTCAGTCACTCAACAGTGTTTGACAGTGAAGTCTTGAAAGTAAAGGGGTTTATACAGTAGGTTTGCGGGTGCACCATGTGTGAGAGAGAGAGAAAGAGGGTTGAGGAGTCCTGAAAAGGACTCTGACTCGGTAATCTTTCTTGGGGTGTGGTAGTCCTGAAAAGGACTGTTTGTTATCTTTCTTAGCATATAGTTCTAAGGAGAACTATAGCGCTTGGAGAGGATGAGTGGCTCGACGTTTCGAACAGGTTGACTATCCGTCGTCATGAAACCTACTGTATATTTACATCACCACGCAAGGCGACACTTACAAGCAGCATCTAAAGGGGTTTACTTGCATAATTTGAATAATACGACACTGCTGAGGTTTAAATGTCACAGTTAGGACAAACGTGACAAATTCATAGTTTTCGCAAAATTCTACAAAATTTGATGTTGGCTGCAAAAGGGATACTATACCTTTAAAAGGTGAATCTGCCGCATTTAGCGAGTATCATCGAAACAATCGAACCGTCCAAATGATGTATAAGCTAAAGTGCACTCGTTTAATAATGGACACTTATTGGTCAATGAACTTCAATCGAACACCGAGATAAAGGTAAATTACATTTTACTTTATCTACGATTCCAAACGAATGACAAAATCATAATTATCCAAAGATTACTAGTTTGGAAATAAAAGAACTTCGACAATGTCGTTTTTATCCTGTACATATTTGAGATCTTCTGTTTTTCGCTATAAAAACTGCACAACAGTACTGTAAACTCACTTTATTTGACAAATTTGACCGGAAATGCAGAGGTCGTGGGTTCTTACTTTTTATTGGCATGCATCTCCTTGACAAAGGCATTTTGTTCACATACTCCTTTCCCCTAAGGTATGATGAGGGTATTGAGCGAACCCTTCCCCCATCAAATACTTTTTTAATATTTTTGTTTCATTTCGTTTCAAGAATCAGGTTTGTTCATCCAAAGGATAATGAGTTTACGAAAGCTTGGCTCTAAATGTTAAGGTTGTTAGAAGCTTGAACGTCAGGTTAAGTCCACGTTATTATGCCCCCCCCCCCCCATCTGACAAATCGCACAATGGGTACGAGGATCAGGACAGGCGCGGATCCAGGATTTCTTAGGGGGGGGGGCCCACTTTTTTTTTTTGGTCCAAAAAAAAAAGTAACGACTCAGCCAGCCGCTAAATAAGCGGGGGGGGGGGGGGGGGGGGTGGGGGGGGGAGGGAAGAGGACACTTTTTTTTTGGTCTCGAAATTTGAAAATTTGACATTTTGTTCCCTTGGGGGGGGGGGTGAGGTCACCTTTTTTAGGTCAGCCATTGGCATATTTTTTTCATTTTTTTTTAAATTAAAAAAAAAAAAAAAAAAAAAAAAAAAATCACAGAAAAGGGGGCGGGGGGGGGGGGGGTTGCTCCAAAATACACACATAAAAAACCGAAGGGGGGAGGGTCAACCCCCTAACCCCCTTCCCCCCTTCCGTACGTGCCTACTCGTCTGAAAATAGTTTTTCCCCTCCCGCGCTAAGCGCGGAAGCTTTTACGTTTCATTAAATCATTAGAAAAAGAAGACGATTCGTTGTACAGTTTTTTACTCTTAATCCTCGTCTTAATTCATCCCCCTCTCCCGCGCAAAGCTCGAAAGCTTTTACGTTTCATTAAATCATTAGAGAAAGAAGACGATTCGTTGTACCGTTCTCGACTCTTAATCCTCATCTGAATTCAGTTTTCCCCTCCTCCCTCCCGCGCGAAGCGCGGAAGCTTGTACGTTTCATTAAATCATTAGAGAAAGAAGACGATTCGTTGTACCGTTCTCGAAAATAATCCTCGTCTGAATACAGCTTTTACGTTTTATTAAATCATTAGCGAAATAAGACGATTCGTTGTACCGTTATGACTTTTAATCCTTGTCTTAATTCAGTTTCCCCCTCCCACGCGAAGCGCGGAAGCTTTTACGTTTCATTAATTCATTAGAGAAAGAAGACGATTCGTTGTACCGTTCTCGACTCTTAATCCTTGTCTGAATTTCAAATATGTTCTTTGTCTATTCCCTTTTCTTCCTACGTCCTCTTCCTTTACACTCCTCTTTTTTTTTTGACCGGCGTTTATTGGGGGACCACCCCACCGCCCCTCTGGCTACGCGCCTGCTGTCAGATAAAAAACATATGTTGATACCTTGTCCGCCCCGGAAGCTCAGGGGTTTAAGGTTTCAATTTACGGTCAGATTTGCATTCAGGGGTCCGCCTTAGCGCCCTAGACGGGGTCCAGGGGGCAGAGCCCCGGAAGTTCAGGAGTTTAGGCATTTAATTACGGTCAGATGAGCATTATTTTGATACCTAATTGTTACAGTGGCAGGTCACTGATTGGCTTGGGGTTCAGGGGGCGGAGCCCCGGAATCTCAAGGGTTTTAGGCACTCAATTACGGTCAGATGAGTATCGAGGGGCCCGCCTAAGGGCTCTTGGTTGGGTCCAGGGGGCAGAGCCCCAGAAGCTCAGGCGTTTTAGGCGTTTAATTACGGTCAGATGAGCATTTTTGATACCTTATTATTTGTGACACTAGCAGGACACTATTTGGCGTTGGGTCCAGGGGGCAGAGCCCCCAGAAATCAGGGGTTTTAGGCATTAAATGACCGTGATATGAGCATCTAAGGGCCCGCCTTAGGGCCCTAGGTGGAATCCAGGGGGCAGAGCCCTTAGGATTTTAGGCATTAATTTTAATCATGGTCAGATGAGCATATTTTGATACCCCATTATAATGTGACACTGGCAGTTAACTATTTTTTCTTTCTCGCTCTCTTTCTTTCTATTTCTCTTTAATATACTTTTTCAAAGAAAGTGTGGGGGAGGGGCTCGAGGATCCTGATCCCAGCCGTTCCGCGGGCCCTAATATGTAGGCATCTCAAGAAGCATTTTCTTGCCTGGCTGTAAATTTAGGAATTTGTCATTTTCCAACAAACACATGAAGTGAGGAAAATTATCTCATTTCAGCATTATTTGTTAACCACCGTTATGGAATTATAAATAAACCACGTTTGAATTCTATTTCTCCAACCCCCCCCCCTCCCCTATCAGTATGCCAGTGCCCCCCCCCCCCCCTCCGATCTACAACTTGGTGGCGGGAAAATTGCAACTGATATCCCTTACCTTTCTTAATTCTCTTTTTTTTCCTTTCCCTTTCTCTCCTCTTTCACTTTCCCTTCCCTTCCTTATCTCTCTTTTAGGTTTGCTGGGGGGGGGGGGGGGGGGGGGGGGGGAGGCACGGTCCTTTTGGTCCCCAACCCGCTCCACACATTGTTGGCGGGACTAACCGCAACTGATCTCCGCTTCTTTTCTCCCTTTTCTTTTTTTTCTTCCTCTTTTTGTTCCCTTTTAGCTCTCCTCTTATCCTTTTCCTTCCTTCTCTCTTTTTTTAAGCGGGGACGTGGGGGGGGGGGGGGGCTAGGGTCTTTTGCCCCCCCCCCCCCTCGATCCACAACTTGTTGGCGGGAAAATTGCAACTGATATCCCCTTTTTTTCTTCTCTTCTTCCTATTTTGTCCTTCCCTTTATCTCCTCTTTATCTTTTTTCTTTCCCTTTTCTTCCTTCTCTTTTATTTTTTATTGGGGGGGGGGGGGAGGGGGAGGCAAATCCTTCCCCCCCCCCCGATCTCCTTCTTCCCTCTTTTCTTTTCTTCTTCCTCTTCTTTTTTTCCTTTCTCTCCTCTTTCCCTTCTTTTCCTTCTCTCTCTCTCCTTTTTTTTTGCGGGGGGGGGGGGGCCAAGGCACGCTCGGCCCCCCCCCCCCCTGGATCCGCGCCTGGATCAGGATAAGAGTACTGAATTGATACATTTACCGAGAAACGTGGACTTTAGCCTCTGATACTAAAAAGCGTTTCGAAAGTTACGATAAGTGAGTTTTATGAAGAATGATGAAGATCCCTTTGACTGACAAAGTAATTAATGAGGAAGTTCTTAAAAGAGGTGGAGTGCAAAGGAAAAGGATACCTGAGATGTTGATTAGGCAGTTGAAGTTCATGGGTCACATTACACGTAAAGGAGGCCAAGATAATCTTGGTTTGACAGGGACAATTGTGGGAAGGAGGAGTAGGGGAAGAAGGAGGATACTTTGGATGGACAGTCTGCACAAATTGTTGAAAGAGAGAGAGAGAGGAGTGAAAGAACAGGGAGTGGTGCTAATAGAGAAGGCTAGGAACCGAGGGTTGTGGACAGCATGATTGCCAGAAGCAACCGATATGGCACTTAGAGAAAGAGAGAGAGAGAGAGAGAGAGATTATTATCATTATTATTGTTGTTGTTGTTATTTTTGCTGTTGTCATTCATTGCATTATTGTTACTATTGTTAATATCATTGTTATTATTATTATTATCAGGAGTAGAAGTAATTGTAGTAGTTGCAGTAGTAGTAGTAGTATCTTAATTGTAGTCGCTGTCGTAGTAGTGGTAGTAGTATTATCATCATTATTATTACTTTTTGTTTCGAATCATGTCATAGGAACGGAGAAGTACCATGTGGCGCTCCCAACCCCCGTTCCAGCTGACTGTCTGAAGTGTATCTGCATCGTGGAATCCAAATGTAAGATGCCCGCTCATGTTTGCCATATGGACGTCGGCTCTCTATCGTGTGGTCCATACCAGATAAAGGACGATTACTGGAACGACGCCAGGATGAAAGGCGGGGATCTCATGGGATGTAAGTATATTTTCTTAAAAGATTTAATCATAATAGTAATAAACCATTACACAATATGTTTGCGAGTGCATTGTGACGTATCTTCAAAAATCTATATTTTCCCTTGAGAACATTTACCCTTTCATGATTGCGAATATGTTTTTTCACAAGCCCTGTATGAAACTAATCTATTCGGTCATAAATTATTTAGAAAAGAAAAGTTTATGAAATTGTTTGTACAGAGCAAAGATGAGCGGAGAGGAACTCGCAAGCTACGTCACACTGTTGCCAATTTGTGTTTCACTGATGACAAGTTCAAAATGTATATCATTCTCTTCTATTAGCTAATCGGATAGTGCTCAATCTCTCACAAATCTGTTTCTCTAATTTCATTAAAACCAATTTAATATCAGGGTGGACTTCCCCTTTAATCGGGGCAAATAAGATGTGTGCCCTTCAGATCACAAATGCAGAGCAGATTGATTCCTGTTTGCAATTCAGAAATAATGGGGCATATAAAACCTTTTTCGCTCTCTTTTTTCTTGATCTCTTTTGACGTTTTGTTTCGTTTTGTTTCGTTTTTTGTTTTTCGCCCCTCCTTGAAGTGCCAAACAGGGAAAGTGCCCCCATTGCTTTCTTAGGCCAGGAAATTTCCGGGAATTAATGTCATATCAAACATCGAAAAACAAGAATACATTGTCCCATTCATGCGCCTATAAATGAAAATTGATGTGGTATATTTCTTTGCTCTTTAATTTCTATGGTAACCGCAATTTTGTCGGGTTTTTAAATCGATTAGATTATCAATCATTCTGTTTCTTTACACATCTTTTTTCTTTTATTCTCTATTTCTTCCTCTGTCGTCCCCCTTGGAATTTAAAAATACTTTTTCAGCTTGGAGAAAGTGCACAGCTGATATGGGGTGCAGCAGTGAGACGGTACAGGGCTACATGGCTCGTTACGCTGTCTTCAGTCGCCTTGAACACCAACCAACTTGTGAGGATTTTGCCCGCATACACAACGGCGGTCCGAATGGTTATAATAAGACCTCTACGTTGAAATACTGGTCCAGAGTCAAGGAATGCCTCAATTAAAGTTCAGTTGAAATATTAATGTTTCTTCTTTAATACCTGAATTAGGCTAACATAGTGTGAATGATGCAATACCTCAGTCACGATACCCCTTTTGAAACCCAGCCGCTAGAATGTGGCCCCCTTTGTTAATGTTATCTTTTTCTGCTTGTCAGAAATTCAGGAGTAAAAAGCCATCAAAATTGTGTTGGGGTATCAACAAATTGTAAGTCATATTGCACCCCTCTTCTACAAAATCCTGATTCCACCACTGTTCTAAAACTCATGAACTCTTGAATTTATTGGCTATGAGGTGGACCGTAACTTTCTGTTGGCTTTGCTAGAGTGACTACGGGGTATGAGGCTTTAGTTATTTATGAAGACCTGTCAAGAAAGCAAAGAGTATAATTCAAAATTTTCTATTCGATCTTTATAGAGTTCGCTCTTAGCGTTTAGTTCACGATTACTAATTAAGTATGTAACGATAGCACGTCATACTTGATGCTTTCGATTATTATAGCCTGTTTGATTATATCTGTCTTATTTGTAAGGCTAATTAAAAAATACATTATCCTGTTCTTGTGCTATATAAAGTAATGTGGATTTTTTTTTCTTCAACTTTGTATGTTTTAAAATTGAATGGAAAGATTAGAAACAATTGCATTGGATGAACTTACCCCATTCGGGTATTACATTTATAGGTCTATCTGTTAAAACATATCAGATATCAATGTGTGTCTAGCTGACCCCTATATTTGCATCCATACTGGTGTAACATTAAAATCAGTCATAACTGTAGCCGTTTAGTCCAGGTTCTGTCAGTTTTTATACATTTTGATTTACCCTTATCCGATCTTACACAAACGCACACGGCACACGTTAAAAAGATCATCTTGAAATTCCCTTACCGTTTGTATGAAGTTGTCTATAGATTATAACCACTGTAACTTTTATAACATCTGTAATATTAAAACAGTGCCTTGAAGCCAAATTTACAAACCGTGTGTACCGACAATTTCCTTTGATAAGTAATTGTAAAGTATTTAAGAAAATATGGGTTTTTATTGTCCTCATTACCTATTCCAGCATGAATATCACTATTATATCATGTTCACCCGAAGTGGACATTTTGCAAGTCGCCTGTCCAATATTTGTGCATATATATGAAGTGAGTATTTGTGAGGCATAAAAGATCTAACGAACTGGAGTTTCACTTGTCTCCTACGTTGATTCTGTATAATTATCTTTTAAATAATTGTCAATCTTTGATGCTAAGTATTTTTATGGAGAGAACACAGAGAACATATGTTTCAAATCATACCTTTACCTCCTTCACTTTGTGTAAATAGCAATCCAACCTATATCGCTTAGTTCATTAGTATGAAAGGAGAAAACAAATGGTAAAAAGAAGAAAGTTTGAAATAAATCGGACCAATAATAAGAAAGTTACGGGAGTTTGAAATGGGGATCACTAAATCTCTGCAAATCCCAAATCGGCAGTTTGTTCAGTACATTGTGACGTAGCGAGGGATGACCATGACAACTCAACGTTTTGTTGTGTACAAAAGAAAAAGATATATCACTGAATTTTGTTTATTTTCATAACTGCCTTCTCTCTTGGGGGTACTAAACAACATGTATTGTGGAAAGCATATTATTGTAGGTCATCTGAAAAGAAAAGACCCTCCTGATTCAAACATTTTGAAAAATAATTGTGAGTGTTGAAACAAATGGGAAAGTTATCCGGCAATACGTCACCGTGACATTAATGATATCAATTTTAGTACCTATACGAATAGTGATAACAGTCTCAACAAATTCACAACTTTCTCATGTTTTTTCCAGAATTCATTCAGACTATCACCTGTTTGCTGCTGTCTCTGCTTTCCATAAAGTATATTTGTATATTAAGGTTATATTTTTCTTTAATGCATTTTGCTCCATATATCATAATACAAGATTCTATTTATTTTAAGATATTTATCTTAAAAACCTTTTTGCAGCCAACATCAAATTCTGTAGAACTTTGCAGGAATTATGAATAGGCCTATGTCACGTATGTCCTATCTGTGAAATCTAAACGTTAGCAGTGTCCTAATATTCAAATTATGCAAGGAAATCCATTTACTTGATAGACTTCACTGTCATACACTTTTGAGTGACTGACTTTTGTCTTCTTTGGTAAAAACATACATAAAATGAGCTACAAAGGGTACATGAGCAATTGTCTAACTTAATAATCCACTTATTGTAATAGCCAAAATTAAAGTGATTGAATATTTGCGCAGCACAAAACGTATAACCATTTGGTACAATGGTCTAAAAATTAGACTATTACTTACTGTTGGTAGCACTTAAGTCGATTCGACAACTAATATTCGTTATTTTCCCACTTAAAAACATTTTCACGCCCCCCTTTTTTAAGGGAAGTTCTTAATTAGTATTATCTTTCAAATTCCGTTGGAATTTAACCTTTTCATTTTTTGGGCTTACAAATGGGACATAGTACCTTTAACATACAACATTTTCCTTAAATTGAAAAAAATAATGTGTCCAATATGCCATCATCTGCCCTTTAACATTTTACCTCATTACGTTCTCTTTATCTCCAACCCTCTCTCTCTCCCCTCTCTCTCTCTCTCTCTCTCTTCTTTCTTCTCCCTCATTCCCAATAAACTATCACTTAAAGAGGTTCTTTCAAGAAAAATTAATCCAAATTTATTAGCAACATATATATTATTGAAAGAAACCAATATGACAACGAGACTCAGCAGAAAATTATTCAGTACATTGCAAACCACCAAATAGGTCAGTGAGAAAACTGCCCTCATATAATAAAAGATTGGTCTCATGTTATCCTTAAAAACGTTATACCTATCATGAAAAGAGGAATTAATCCTAATTTATGCGCAACATTTTATTAAAAGAAACCAATATAACAATACGACTTAGCAGACTATTATTCAGTACATTGCAAACCACCAAATGGGTCAGTGAGAAAACTGCCCTTCTATAAAAAAAAAAATATCTCATGTTATCCTTACATAGCTTCTACCTATCTAATAACAGAAGATTAGTATGAATATCTTAACTGTGTTAACACATTAACAACTGTCCGCCAAATTCTTCTCTGACAAATCCGCCACAACCTAACACAATAGAAGGCGCGAAAATACAAGTATTAAAATAGGAGCAATTCTTTACTATAAATTTTGACTTGATTTAAACGTTATTAAGGTCATATCAAACCCATGATGTACAATAAAAAGGGGAATAATGATACATGAATACATAAATGTAAAAAGGACAATATGAATGAAAGTAAACGGAGTTATACAGTTCTGCGTAACCATAAACCACATACAGTTTAATGCACATTATTTAGACATGACTAGATATATTTGTAGTACACTAAAACTGTAATAAATTTGTGCAGTTCGGCCTATTCTCATTCTTCACTTAAAAAGCATACAGGCAATGTAATATGCAAATATGTACAAAGCATATGAAAGCTAGAATACTATGTATATTAGGGAACAAGCAAATAGTATACGTGCTAGTATAAGCTATAGTTCCATTCGTTGGAGAGAGTTATTACCACAGGAGCACTTCTTTACCCTGTATTTTGACTTGAAATAAATGTCATTAACAACACATAGGAAAATGGGGAAATATGAATGAAGAATAAATGAATAAATAAAGTACTATATAATCATAGACCCGATACAATTAACTGTACATGATTTAGACGTGACTAGATTTATGTGAAGTACACTAACATTGTAATGAATTACATAAGTACATAAATGAGAGAACAAAATATGAATGAAAGTAAAGGATTTGTACAGTGCTATGTACCAACTACCACATATAGTTAACTGTACATGATTTAGATAAGACTAGGTTTATCTTTAGTACACTAAAATTGTATTAAAATAATCTAATATAAAAATCAGACCTATCAGAAAGATATTCAGTTCATTTCATACCACCTAATGGGTCAGTGAAAAATTGCCCTTATATCAAATAAAAAAATATCTCATGTTATTCACAAATACCTTCTACTTCTACTCTATATCTTAACTGTCTAATAATCTGAAAAGAAAGGTAGATCATAAACAAATTTCTGCCAATTCTACTCTGAACAAGCCGTCACAATATTACACAATATAACGATAGAATGCATGAAAGTGTTACTACAGGAGCGATTCCTTTCTTTGGATGTTGACTTGATTTGAATGTTATTAAGGTCAAATCAAACCGATAATGTACAATGCAAAGAGGAATAAAGATATACATGAATACAAAAATATAGAAAGAAAAACATGAAAGAACATAAATGGATATTAACGGTGATATTTAACCATAGATTTCATGCAGTTAAATGCACATGTCATGACTAGATTTAGATGTAGTACACTATTATTGTAGTGAATTACTTGACTACGTAAATGAAAAAGAGAATTTATGAATGAAAGTATGAAACGAATTTTTACAGTGCTATGTAACCGAAGACGATATGCAGTCAAATGCACATACTTTAAACACGATTAGATTTATGTGTTGTACAATAAAAGTGTAGTGAATTTGCCCAGTTCAGCCTAATCTCCTTCGACATTTAAAAAGCATATAGACATGCTAATATGCAAATATATACAAGGCATTTCCAGAGTAAAATACTAGGGACATTACATGAATTCCCCTGAAATAAGGACAAAGGCCATTAGAACAATTGCAAATGGAGCCTATAGTTGCTTTCGTTGGAGAAAGGCATTACTTAATAAGCACTTCTTACTCTGTATTTCGACTTGCCGTAGCAACAAACGAAATTGACAAAAGAATTTACTTCGATTCGTTGACAATCAGCCATGCATGAGTTAAGTCTTATGTCACTTCTGCTTGTTGCTACGGTAGGCAGCTAGTGAAAACGAATTCGTTTAATAAAATTATGGAAATGCAAGCATCACTTTAAACAAAAAGGACTTTGTTATTCCTTTCTCATCTTTCCTGATTGAGGTGTCATGTAAAAGGGCAGAAACTGAACTTTTTAGAAATTTGATTTTCTCTTTGAAATTCAAATACCGTGACTTTTTGGTTCCCTCTCTTCAAATCGATTTTAATCACTTATGCGTGAAATATGCATCTAATGAAACGAGAGGATCTAAGCTTTACAAATATATGTCATTTATTAATTATGATTGTTATTATTAAGTAATTATAAAACATCGATAATTCTCGGTTTCGTCTTTTCCTGGCACGCACTGTATATATATATTGAATTGAATTGAATTGAATTTATTCACCACTTTCATAAAAGCATACTATTCAAAGAATACAAAGAAATAATACTATGGTAATTTCACAGATAAAAAGTGCAGTTGTCAAATTCGAAGCTTCTGCTTCGATTGAGGACTTGGATTATGCTCAAACCCTCATAGAGATGCACACTTTATAAGTTTTGGAGGTAGTGTGTTTCAGATAGTGGGTCCTTGGCATAAAAAGATAATATTTGAAAATGAAGACTGAACATTTATTACACGAGTGTCTGCTGAAATTCTGGTATTATATCTATTGCTCTGGCATAAAAAGATAATATTTGAAAATGAAGATTGAACATATATTACACGAGTGTCTGCTGAAATCCTGGTATTATATCTCTTGCTCTGTTAACCGATAGTGGGTCCTTGGCATAAAAAGATAATATTTGAAAATGAAGATTGAACATATGTTACACGAGTGTCTGCTGAAATCCTGGTATCATATCTATTGCTCTGAAATA